TCTTGAAATAAAATCCAGAGTCCTCAGCGCCCGAGACCATCAAAAAATGGTCTCAAGACCAAGACCGGTCTCAAGTACTACAACACTGGCAAAAGTATTTGACAATTTCAGATTTACTAGAACAAGAGAGTCCGCCTAAACTGAAAGGCTTGAAGACTGTTAATCACAGAAACAGCTAAGAAACTCTGGATGAGTTGCAGAAATCTCCGGTTCACTTAACAGAATCTGTTGTGCTTAACACTTAATTTGGGGTTTAAGGATGCATTCACCTGCATTGATTAGTCCGCTCTAATCAAACTAGTTCACTTGTCTAGACAAAATCTCCCATCATATGAATTATTTTCTAAACTAATTTCTTCTGATCCAGGCTAGTGAGTGAGAGTAACTTTATCAATCTTGAGAGATATTTTGCACAGACATGGTATAACTTGCTTCACTATAATGTTGAGGATTTTTCTCCGGCACTGAATTTTGCTTTCAGATTATTGTAAAACTCTTATTTAAACTTTTATCAGTTTCAGCGCACAAGGGATTCCAGAACATGTTCACCCTCGTATCTCATGATGAAACAGCTGAGTTCTGCCATAACGCGAAGTCCAGCTCCCACCAAAGTGGACCGACCACTGCAGGAAGGGAGACTAATGAGAGAAAAAGTAGGGTCTTGTTGGAAATAATGAGGAGGGAGAGTCACAACTTAGTGCGGGAAATAAATGGACAGTGGAGGGGAAGCTGAATTTTCATGAGATGGATGTAAGAGTACAGGATTGGGTTTATAAAGTGGTGCAGAGTGTCAGCTCAGCTCAGCAGGAGATGGTGGGTATATAGAAATATAACCCAGAACTTTAAGGGTTTTATTTGAAAGAGGAAACTGATTCTAAGGATGCATTCACACCAGCCCTCTCTGGTGCACTTTAATCCATCTCTAGTGCGATTGTCTAGAAAGTCTGGTTTGTTTTAGAATATGCGATTGCAGAATGTGGACCAGAAAAGCGAACTCTGGTTTGCCTAAACACCGAGTTCTCTGTTCGGTCAAAGCAGTGTCTCTCAAACGTTTTCAGGTTGAGAATCACTTAACCCTTTAACAAAACTCACGGACCACTTAACCTGAAATTGCCCCCTGATAACGCATCTTAGTATGTGATGCAACCTGAAAAGAAAGTATTAAGTCGCTTAACTCACGGTTTTTGCAGCTTTTCTTTTGAGTGACCCGATGTTAAGCCAGTTTCCTGTCATTGCTTTTAACAGAGTCCTGTGGTAAGCTCGCTGTTGCGTCGTACTTTGAGCTCGCGTCACAGTAAACAAACAGTTGTTTACATGCAGTTGCCTGTGGACCACTAGGGGACGCTCACGGCCCACCAGTGGTCCGGGCACCACGGTTTGAGAAAGACTGGGTTAAAGTAAACCGATGCGGTTTGACTGCATATGTGAATGCCAAGTGAAGACCGCTTCGAAAGCAAGAAACAGACTATAGCGCAGGGCATTCTGGGTAAATACAAACAAAACAAACAAGTGACAATAGCGCTAGCAGGAGAAATGACCTATGTGCTTTTACCTTAAAAACAAAATAAATTAAGGGAAACCACAAATGGTAATTACTAGAAAAAAGATTAATTTCACAAAATACCTAAAACAAACAACGAAGCATCCTGCCAATGTGGAAGGAGAGGGAGACTGAAAGCAGTAAATCCCATCAGGTGCTTGGTGGGTTTTTATTTCAGTATTTATGAAGGGCACTTCCAAAATGTAATATAAGAAATATATGTTTGTTAAAAATAGCTGGATGAAGCTGTACAAGACAGCCAAAGTACATCATTAAGACCCAAAGCAGAAATGCATCTGAGGGACGAACGCTTCTCGGTTTTATTCAAGGCTATGCTTCGTCATTTTAATGAACACCTTACCAGCTGTCAGCTGTGATTGCCACGCTGGGAGGGCTGAACGAAAAGCGGCGAAGGGTGGGAGGGGCGCGACGGCAGATGATGAGCTCTGGTTAGAGAATCAATGAAGGGGAACCAGTTTGACCTCTCACCTTGGCATATCAGCCTCCAAGTGCCTGACTGGTGAAGTGTAAAATAATTAACAGCGCTTGCTCCTGGAACGGTGGGTCTGTCTTTGCGTTTGTCCTTCTTGAGAGTCGTTGTTAAACTTACTTTCAGTGAGTGTTTACGCCTCCTTTAGCAAACTTGTCACAGAGCATCTGAGAGGTTAAATAATACACAAGTGGTGTCTAATTAGGTGACGTCCCGGGGCAACTGACTACATGTCAGTCCTGCATGGACGATTCGCTGGATTCTGATCCATCATAGTCTTTAGAGCAAGTGGACAAGTATTTCAGGGAAATGTTGATTTCTAAAATTGGAATTGATTGACCAATTTGCCAGAAGTTTTCCATGGTCTTGACCTTGACCTAAGTGTCAAGGTCAAATTTATGTATATAGCACGGATCTGGAACTCTCCTTATGGCAAAATCCCACGCAGAGAATTACCTATTAGCTGAAAGCAACAAAAATTCAATATAAACCCATTAAATAATCTTCTCGCATTCACCTCACAATATTCAGGATTCTTCTCACTGAGAATTGCTTCATACTTTAAACAGGTTCAGTTCTATTACTTTAGTGTGAGATAGTCAACCTATCGTTTTTCTTATGATGCCCAGCAAATTTGTCATTTCGCATCAGACGTATGGGAAACTACAAAACGGAGATTGCAAAGTAATGGCATTGACATTAGACTGATTTGAAATGAATCACATTGAATATCCGACCAAAGCTCAGTCGACTGATTCATCCATTTAAAAAAAAAAGTCATAAATAAACAGACACTTTGCCACTTGAAAGCGGAAATAGATCATTCAGTGGACAGACTGATGAGCAAGAGATGAAACATGTGCACCAAGTCAAACAAGCATGCCATCTGTATCGATTTATTTGGAAGGCGTGATTACTCATATCCTGAAGGCTCACATTTTCCTTTGTGTTCATGTGAATCCTAACAAGCTTCAGAATAAAAAATAAAAAAAGACGATCAATGCTTTTAGCACACAAATATTTAGTCATGTTACTAAATCTCTTCTACCGATCTGCTGGTTTGAGCGGGTTTTAGTTACATGTTCATTTCAGCTCTAATAGGAGTTTTCCTTTCAAGCGATGGATGAATATGGCAAAAGAATTTCAAGACATGTCTGGAGGCACATAATAGGCGACAGAAATCGGCTGCGAATAAGAATCATGTACTGAGCCCTGAAGCCATTCTTGTCGTCTCCTATGGAGCGAGAATGCAGATGCCCTTAGAAGGCATTTTGCCCCTTACATAGTTGTTGCTTTTTGCTTCCTTGTCAAACTTTACTTGTTCATATCATCAAACAAACATCAGTGTCAGAAAATTGATCCATTGCTCAATTTGACATTTCCAAAATAAATCCGCTCAATGGAAAAATTTCAATTTTGAAAAAAGAACAAACTTGTTTTTTTGTTTGAACAATTTAGCTTCGGATGAGGTGGTTTTTCTTTTGTTTTTGATTGTGTTGAAATTAGCTGATTTCACAAAACTGCAATGAGAACACTTTTTTTTGCCCCACTTGAGTCACATGATCAACAACCAGGTGTTACTGCTGGGGAAAAAGACAAAGAAAATGACAGGAAGTATTTGGAGGCACGGCACGTTTTAATGACTTATCACGTGAACACGCTTATTCACTTGTGATTTTATTTGTGGTTCTTACGCAACACCTCAATTGGAAGTAGTGTTATTGTTTTTTTAATCAGCAAAACAGTGAAAAAGTTTTGCACATATTTGTAATGAAAACGCAGGTACTGATATTCAAAGTACAAACTCAACTCTTCTTTGCAGAATTGTTTTACTGTGAGGCTTGTCTTTGTTTTCGGCAGCTGTGGTTTTGGTATTGGGTCACATTTGCACACAGAGAGTGACTGAGGTTGGGTAGATGTTGTTCTTGCTTCCTGTGTGACCTCCTTGGTAACTTGTTGGACCATTCATCAGACGACTTTGGTCTCTTGGCAACTCCTAGGAAACTTCATCTGCATGTTTCTTTATTTTTCTCCAAAGCTTTTGCAGTACGTTAGAAACGCTTTACAGTCCTTCTCACAGTGATATGTCAGTGACTTCTTAAATTTCACTTGATTGGGACAAAATGTTGTGCATTTTGAAATCCATTGGTGTACTTAATGTCGTCAAACAGGTTTCATTGAAGGGATTTTATGAATCTGTTGTTCATGTAATATGTAGGCCTGAGATTAAAACATTGCAAACCTCCTCAAAGTGCCGATTGCTGTTTCTTCATTTTTTATTTTCAATCATATTACTTGAAATTTTCTGTATTCATGTTAAATTATACGAATACCAATGTCTCCCAATATGTTAGAAAATTGAAAAATATGCCATAGGGTGATCTTATTTTTATGTTTTTGATTTTTTTTTTCTTTACTGCACGTAAAAGTACCTTTTTCCAACTGAAATCATTACGGTCATGATCAAAAGCGGTGAAGATAACATGTTTCTCAACATGTTATCAGCGGCTCTGAACAAAAATAAATGTGCTGCCTTGCGATCAAAGGCAACGCAAATACCTCCATATATCTGTGCGTCAAATACATGTTTGATATTCGTTATGGGCAACCTCTTGAGTAGCACGTTTTTGAACCAGGGATGCAACAGAGGGGATGCAACTGTTTGATCTTTTAGCTCTATGGACAACACACACACACACACACACACACACACACACACACACGCATATCACACCAATATACAACAGGTCACCCCTGCAAAATATCCTGAGAACTCCAATCCCCCAACCTCCACCCACTTACCGAAGCAAAAACAGACGACTCACAAGGCGCATTGCAGACATGGTGATACATTTTAGTTGTCAGAAAGAGTCGTCGAGGCAAACAGTTTCTGCAACAATTCAGAACGTCTGTTTGCTTCGTTTGCACCAAAACGTGACTTGCTTTTTGTTGTCAAACTGATTTCCACAGATGCAGACATGAGGCATCTAGAGGATGACAGGAACTTCCAGACCTGCTGACTCTCTTCAGGGAAGAAGCGATCCTTCAGAAGCATCAACGTCAGTGGTGCACTAAACACACTTGATGTATTGACAAGCAAATCTCTGCAGATACAGTGCCTGGCAAAAGTATTTCTCCATTTTAATTTAGCTTCCCCCCAAAGAACTGAAAACTGCAGCACATACTAGCATTAATCTTCCCTTTGATTACCCTAAACAAACCATTTGCCGTCAGAAATCACCTCGTTACATGACGGTTGAGAACTCAGTTTTATTTACAATGGTCGTCCATGTAGGCTTTATCAGAAATCCCTTAAATGTGCTAGCAACCTGCGTTACTTCTTTTCTTCAAGACTTCCAAATAAAACCCAGAGCTACTAATTTTCCTTCATATTCCACAAAGACTTGCAGCTGCAGTTGCTGTGCAATACTCAAACCTTCCAGATTTTTACTCATAATACATTTTGAAAGTAATTCTTTATTGGTTGTTCTCCTTCCCTTCAAATTCTGCACTACTTTGATCACATAAAATTAAAAACGGACGACTGGAGGGGTTACCGGTATTTGTTGCAATAAGGAGATTTTTGTCACTGAGCTAAATGATTACTTGATGATGTGGTTGTAAAGAGCCGCGCAAATGGAAGTCCAAAAAGCATCAGTCCGTGTGTTCGGTGTGTGTGTGTGTGTGTGTGTGTGTGTGTGTGTGCCTCCCTCAGGGAGTGTGTGGGTTGTGAACATCCACGTTAGAACCTGCTGTGCCATCACTGCGGGTGGGATTAGCCCCTCCTGGCAGGTGTTTGATCAGGTCGGGGTTCTCGCCGTGGAAAATGGAGGTGACAGTTCATTAATTCACGCGGGGCTCGGGCGGCGCGTCACATTTATCGTGGCCTTTTTTTTTTTTCTGCTGCCGTCTGGTCGCTGACGGCTGATTTGTTGAAGCCGACGGGGCCGCTGCCAAAGCTCATGATGAGCTGATGAGGCTCGTATTTGGTTCGAATCTGTATTCTGTCTTTGGCGGTCTTACATCACAGACCCTTAGGCGCTTGACTTCAGTTCTGTATGTTTGCAGTCATATTCAATATATTACGATATGCCTTCCGATGAGGCTCGTTTGACCACATACTTTCCATTAAATCTGCATTTCTGTTTTTTTTTCTTGGTCTGATGTAATATTTTTATCTTGAAAACCATGTTTTTATAAAATTGTAGCTGAAATATCATGACAATTACCAGTAAAACATTCAAAAAGTTAAGTCTGTGTGCAAGTAATCCATATAAAGAGTTTAATTTTTGTATATCATCTTACTAATATCAATGAACTATTCAATATTCTGCTAGTTTGTTGAATATGACTGTACAGGAAGTGCAAGAACCAAGTAAATCCAGCCTATCAGGAAAAACAGATGAATGGTCAATACTTGTTTTTATTATCTTGTCTCCATCCAGTTGGCCTCAGTTGCAGCTGCAGCCATCTTAACAAATAACATTGCTGATGACTCAGCTTTTAATGTAATTGCAAATGACTATAGGGACATCACACTAGCCTGGAGGCAGAAAGTGATTTACTTGGCTTTTAACCTTGCAGATTTGCTTGGAGACTTGATATTCACATGCATTAGACGTTTCAGGCTCGGTTTCTTTAAACATGAGTTATGTTTAATGTATCTTTATAGTACACAAACACATGAACAGCACATACTTCCCGTTTGCGGTCTGACACAGAGAAACGGCAAAAGACGTTCGGTCAGTTGAGACCAAGTCGAACCTTTTTAATCTACATGCGACGCACTGTGTGTTATGCATTTGGGCTCATTATTTACCCTTAGGGCCACATTCCAGTAAATTCGTCCTGACACAACTGGTGTAATGAAGTCAGGTTTGTAGTCCCGCCTCGCTCACACATCTCTAGCTGTGCTCTCACACACTTTCACGCATTAAGATCAGGGCTTCACTCCAAAACATTGACTCCATTGTCCGTAAGCCAATTTGGAACTAATTTGCTGGTGTGATGAGTCAGACCCGAGCGCTAACTCCCTGAATTATGACTTGAGATGGCGTTTCTCATCTCGTGATGTCTTTTATTTTTTTAATTGGACCATTCCAGCAGCATTCTAAGACGTGCAAGCTTCTACCACTTTCCTCCAAATCTAAAATACTGGCCAAATCTAACAGGGGAAACCCCTTCCAGATACTCCAGGCTGTCACGTTCTCCAAAGTACTGCGTGTATTCTGGGAGCCGCTCGGGCTCAGCTGTTCACGTACAGATGAGATTTCATAGTGGAGCGGACAGATAGCACATTCCTTCACTGGGGTTCTAATAGCCGCTTTGTTTTAGCGTATTAGCAGCACAAAAATTTTTTACAGGCGACGTGTAACGTGTGAAGGAAAGGGATTCGCCTTTCCACAAACTGGGCTCAGATTAGGTTTCTAAAAATGTTGCTTTCATGGATACTGAGGCTCTGTCACCCAGACATGGTACGTCTGGAGCCAGACTTCGGTGATGCAATTGTGGGAGGTCACCTTGGCGTCAAGGGGAAACGGAAATTAGAATGGAGAAGCAATACTGCGAGACGCACGTCAGAAGAGTCACTTTTGGGTTGAATCCAATGCTATAATGAGATGAACTTGAGTATTTATCAACGTTTTGTGGATTAGTTTAGAAAAAATTCACCCTGTTTTACCCCAACTCCACACATTTGGTTTGCATTTCAACCCCGTCTCATGCTCCCCGTAACATGTTTTGCTTTAAAAATCTATTTGCTCAGAAACCCAGAGATGTAAAGTTAACAGAATTTATTTTAATATATGTGAAAAAAACAAGAATTTCTCACTACAACACAAAACGGCCAAACTTTGTTATAGAGACCCAAGCCATACAGTGGGATATTTTGATATTTGAGTGTTTATGGAAAAAAATATCCAATATTAGCTTTTGTTCAGTATAAATCTGTGGTGAAATGACATATCTTTACTTAACTGAATGAGATGTGAATATGAGTCATGGCTGCATTATTATCAAACAACAGAGATAGGTCAATGTCAATGAGTTGTTGGCACTAAGTAGGATTTAAAACAGTCAAAAACACATGTAAAGCATTTAGATGTCACCAATCCATACTGAGACAATGTGTACGAGTGGCGCTTAATAATAGTCCTTTGTAATCCTCCAACAAAGTGGTTGCTACCACTGGCAAGTGATTTCTTTAAATGAAATCACTTAAAGACCAAGACATTTAATAATCTGTCAAGACACAAAGAAACGCAGAGAAATCTCTGCCAATGAGGACAGAACAGCAATTATAATGCAGTTTGTCTGCCGGCAGAATAAACATTGCATTTCGAATCCAGATGGATGTTCTGCTTATGTTTTGTGAGGCTTGATGCTTTAAGAACCTCCACACGTGTGGAGAGACAGGGACCAATGTCAAGGCGTCGATATGACAATGATGCCTCGTTTAATTTATTTTAAGGCTTCTCTGATATACACAGCATGTTATAAACTGAAGGCAACATGCTTACTTGATTACTTTACTTAATTTTTGCCTCTTCTTCTGAACTGTATTCAGATCAACCAGTTACTCTCTTCATTGTTTTTCTAGCACTTCCCACTTTGTTAACAGGTCAAATTAACGAAGGCATTATAAAATATTCAAGTCTCAATTGCAAATCATGTGCTTATTTCTTATTTAGGTGAGCGAATCTATTGTGGTTTGTTTGTCCCTGTAAAATCAAAGCCTAAATGCTGTCTGTGTTTCATTAATTTGGTGTTTCTCTGTTTTTATCTGTCAACATCTAAACATTTTCCGATCTACGGTGTACACTTATTTGTCAGAGTCATGGGGAGCTGAGACCAAGGGGAAAAATACACATTGGAAAAACCATAACAGGATCTGACCTGGAATAATCAATTTCAATTTCAAAAATATCAGTTTTACAATATGTGTTATGATAGTTAACCTCTTACAGACATGTTTCAAATGTCAAGTAACTATTAGTGAAGTCTCTAAAAGGTATAGTTGCTAAAAAAGACAAATATAATATAATCACAAACAATGGGTTGTTCTGCTCTTCTTGAATATTGTTCCACAGTTTAATAAATAGCATTTTGCTGCCTGGGAATAGCTTCCAGTTTTCATCAATTCCCTCCCATTTATGCTCAGTAAAACTGTAAACACACAGAAACAGGAAAACAATAATAATATAGTAACAATAATAAACACATCTTAAATTAAGCGTTCATGGATGTATGTTATAGAGCAAAACAGAACGGATAATTGTGGCTTTAATATTTTTGCAGTGTTGGTAAGTACTGTAATTTTTGGGACATAGCCCTGAAATGTGTAGAACTACCTACTTTTTGAAGACTAGTCTACTGTCATACTACTTTTCCTTTTCCATTCTGCCTTCTTTCCCCCAAATTAATTTCTCATCCTCTTAAATGGTCACATTATTGGATCCAGTGTTTTCTGCATGCAGCAGCCGTAATTACCTTGCTTGTTCCAAGGCTTTGAAACTTGTGACTAAAAATGGGTTCTGATTTTCGCTGTTTTGAACCGGCTGGAATGAATTTTATCTACATACATCTTTGCTGGAGGGGGAAAGAAAACCATATTTCAGCAGGACTCATAACCATCTAAAATCAGACGGTATGACAGCATTTATACTGAATGAATGTAATAATTATTGATTATTGAACAAAAAAAGTTGATTTTGTAGTATTTCTTTGCCTGATCTGTGACTGACTATGTTCATAACGTCCCATTGATTCTCTCAAGCATGGTGTTGCGTAGATCATTTGACTTGACATATATAATTCTTACACTCCAAGTAACTGGCAGCAGATTTCACAATACATTGTCTTAGAGAGGGGAGACAAAGCACTTAGAGACTGATGGATGAGACATCCGGCCAATAGAGTTATGGCCTACTAAGCTCTGAATATGGCGGCAAGCCATCTTCATAATTGATGCAATCTACATAAATGTCCTTTATGTTTCCGTTAAAATAACCAGACAATTCAAACCGATACACAAAGCAACCTGTGGCAGCCCAGGCAGCGT